CGGGGTTTGCAAGCGAGCAGGTGGGAGAGCAGCTCTGCAGTCCTGAGGCTGAGGTCCCTGGTCTTGGACTCACGTGATGCCCAGCTGTGCTGACCCACCCACGCCCAGGAGAGGGGGCCACCCTGGGGAGAGCCTCCTTCCCTCCAAGGTGTCCGGTGTCAGGGCGTCAGGCTGCCTCTCCCCACACAGCTCCCCACAGGCGGGCCCTTCACGCAGGGGCATGCCTGCGCCGGCTGGAATCTCTGAAATCCCTGCTTTTATAGTCCCGGGTGCTGAGCTGTTCACAATGCAGGGGCAAGAAGGGGTGTGGAGGGTGAGGGGCTTGGGAAGCACCCTGCAACGCCAGGAGAGGCCCTGCAGGGACCCAGAGGAGCAAGTTATGGGCTCGGCCTTGGCGGGTCACAAGCAGGAACACGCAGATGAGCTCCGCGTGGACCCGTGAGACCATCAGAACGGTTGGGTGACTGGGTGGCTTCTGGGACTGGGGCAGGGCGCCATCAGAGTGGAGGGAAAGTGCAGACGTCCCGACAATGGGAAGGTGTCACGGAGGCCCGTCCTGCCACGCACAGGGAACGGATCGTAAGTTAGAAGACATACATTCTGTGGTGGCACATGGAGGGTCTCTTCGGTTCCTTGGAGTTCGAGGAAGTTCCTGAAGGGCTTGTGCGTTCTCTGAGCGGTGCAGACACGGGTCGCCTTTGTGGCCGCGTCACTGCCGCTGTCTGCCCATTGCAGGTGGCTTGCAGCAAGGGCGTGGCGGGCACCATCTATGAGTACGGCGCACTCACCCTCAGTGGCGAGGAGTACATCCCGTTCAGGCAGTTCGCGGGCAAGCACGTGCTCTTCGTCAATGTGGCCACCTACTGAGGCCTGGCGGCCCAGTACCCTGGTAAGCATGGGCTCCCTCGGCACATGCCCATGACAGAGCCCCTGACTGTCTCCAGGGTGGGGCAGGTGATGAGAGGCCAGTGACTGTCCGGGGAGCCCTGCTTCGCAGACCCAGTCACTATCTCCAGATTCAAGAGCTAGCCCACGACCAGGAGGAGCAGGCTGTGGCTGACTAGTTACTAGTTGACCAGTTGACTTGCTACTCGATGCCCCGAGGTGTGCCCTGGGGAGCTGCGGGCTGTTTGGAGGGAAGGAGGCTTGCCCTAGGGCGCTCTCCTTGGCGTCGGTGGCACAGGCGGGCATCATGTTAGTCCAGCACCGGGAATCTTAGCCTCAGAAACGGCCCAGCGGGGGGCTGTCCCCACGAGCTGCCTTCTGCCTTCGGCCACCTGGCCTCTGCAGAGGACTTCCAGTCTTGCCTTTCTTGCTGCTGACACTAGAGCCTGTGGAGACCCTGTGACCTGTCACTGTCGGCTTCCGTTTGTCTTGCCTTGTGCTGGCTCGGCTCTGGGCTCCACCCCACAGCTGGCCCCGCATGGGCTCATCACCCTGAGCGTGGGGCACAGAAGCCTAGAAAGCCACAGGCGTGAGGAGCAGGGCCTTCCTGGCAGCTTTCAGCTCTGTGCTGTCTGTGAGGAGCAGTCAGGGTCCCTTGGAGCACAGCGCCAGGTCCGGGGCTCGAACTGCACACTCGGCCATGTGGGACCCAGCCCCCTTGACCGCCTTGCCACCTGCTGGCCCATTGTTCTGCATTATTATGTGACAGGTGCCCTCGTTCGTTTTTACCCCAGGTTTTTGCCATAGTGCATGTGTGCTTGCCAGAGAGAGAGAGGCAGAAAGAGAGAAATCACCCCCTGTGGGGCGGCCATGTCCCAGTTGTCACTGTCGGCTTCCGTTTGTCTTGCCTTGTGCTGGCTCGGCTCTGGGCTCCACCCCACAGCTGGCCCCGCATGGGCTCATCACCCTGAGCGTGGGGCACAGAAGCCTAGAAAGCCACAGGCGTGAGGAGCAGGGCCTTCCTGGCAGCTTTCAGCTCTGTGCTGTCTGTGAGGAGCAGTCAGGGTCCCTTGGAGCACAGCGCCAGGTCCGGGGCTCGAACTGCACACTCGGCCATGTGGGACCCAGCCCCCTTGACCGCCTTGCCACCTGCTGGCCCATTGTTCTGCATTATTATGTGACAGGTGCCCTCGTTCGTTTTTACCCCAGGTTTTTGCCATAGTGCATGTGTGCTTGCCAGAGAGAGAGAGGCAGAAAGAGAGAAATCACCCCCTGTGGGGCGGCCATGTCCCAGTCCCTTCTCCACCATTCTCCCCCTGGGATTTGGGCACATGTGCACACATACCTGGCATGAATTTCAAGCCACCAGGTCTGGGACTTGAACCACAGTCAGCCATGTGGGAGTCCAGTGCCTTAACCACAATGCCAGCTGCTGCCCCGTTCAACAGCATACTTTCCCACTGTGTGGCTGACGAGGGTTCTAGAGTGTCTCGGTCACATCTTACTCCAGATGAGACAGGTGAGAGAGTTCTGGGAACTTGGCGAAGGAGGGAGATGCTGGCGGCCAGAGAGCGGGGTGGCAGGCAGTGTGGCAGCTGGGCATGACCAAGGAGCACCCCCACCCAATAAGGGCTCCTGAGGAGACGCTGGGGCCGCTGGTGCTGGTTCTGGGGACTGGGTGAACCTGGGCTGAGGAGGGCCGAAGGTGGAGACGATGGGGCTGGTCTAGTAGGCAGGCCGGGGTCTTCCTCACGGTGGTTTGAGCCTGGGGTCTCGGGCAATGCCATGGAGGTGGCTCCTGGGAGTGGCTGGGCTGACGAGAGGTGGAACGGCTCTGGGCCAGACATGAGATCGCTCTCCTTGCTGTCCTTTGCCTCCCCCAGGGACGAGCGCCATGGTGCTCCCGGGAACGTGACCAGAGAGCCAGGTGGTGTCATCATGGGACGGGGCAGGGGAGGGAGCAAGCATTTGGTTTGCCTTTTCCTTTAGAAAATTTGATGGAGGGGTCAGCAGGTGGTTAAGGTGCTGGGTTCCTACATGGCCAGCGGTGGCTGGAGTCCCAGACCCAGCAGAAAATCATGCTATGCTATGCGTGTGCGTGTATGCTCCAAATCCTGAGAGAGGAGTGGAGGAGAAGGGATTGAGGCGCAGCCAGCCCCCCCCCCCCCAGGGTGATCTCTCTGTCTCTCGCTGTAAGCCCACACACCCCACAGCTCTTGAGCTCTCCCTCGAAGTGTGGCTCCCGGCAAACTCTGGCCTCTGGCTGTTCTGGCTGCCATGCCCTGCCCCTTCAACCTGCCCTGCCCGGCCCTGTCGCCCACAGAACTGAATGCACTGCAGGAGGAGCTGGGGTCCCGTGGCCTGGTCGTGCTGGGCTTTCCTTGCAACCAGTTTGGGAAACAAGAACCAGGAAGCAACTCGGAGATCCTTTCCGGGCTCAAGTGAGTACCCACGTGGGATCCTGCAGAGGCCGTGGGAGTCCTTCCTCCCGCTACCTGAAGGCCCTCCCATTCTGGAGGCTTCTGGGGCGGCCGCTCAGTGGGCGCTGTGGGCGCCGCCTCCCTGCGGGCAGCCGCCTTCTCTGCACCTTCAGGCTGCAAGGTGGGGAGGGAAAGGTCTAATGTCTGGAGCGGGCATGGAGGGGGGGGTGAACCTGGCTCAGCTCGCAGTGCTGCCTCCCTGTCCTGGAAGTCTCTGGCGGCCCACGAAGCGCGCTCTTCCTGGGGTCCTTCCTTGCCTTCTGTTTACCCCAATTTCCCTCGGTGGGGAGTCCGCGTCCACACTCTCAGGACACTGTTCCTCACAGGTACGTGCGTCCGGGCGGAGGCTTCGTTCCCAATTTCCAGCTCTTTGAAAAGGGAGATGTGAATGGAGAGAAGGAACAGAAGATCTTCACCTTCCTGAAGGTGGGCGAGTATAGGCGTGGGGGACAGCCAGGGAGCAGTGCAGGCCAGTGCTCAGGCCAGGGCGGGCTGGACTTCCTGCAGAGGGAAGGGTGCGGGTTCTGACCCTCCCGCCTTCCTGAGGGCTGCTGCGACCACTCGCCCACTGGGCTGGGCGGGGGTGGCTTCACAGTGGGGGACAGACCCACAGGGTGCAGTCCCTCCCAGACGCAGCACAGATCCTGGGGAGCACCCTGGGAAGAGCCTGCAGTGGAGCATTGGAGCTGCAGATGGCGGCCTGGCCCAAGGAGCTCCTGGTGGGCTTGTCCCCAGGGCTGGTCTGCAGGACAGGCTGGCTGTCGCCTGCACCTTCACTCACCCGGCAGGCTAAACACACGCGCGCGCACACAAGTTGGGGTGTTTTCATAAAGCTCAGCTTATGAAACATGAAAGGCCATCAGCTGTGGGGCCAGCAGGTGGCCTAGTGCTTAAGGCGCTGGACTCCCACGTGATCAGCTGGCTTGACGCTCAGGCCAAGTGCATCTGCTTGTGTGCCCAACCCCCTGGGGGGCGATTTCTCACTTTCTTTTTCTCTGTGTCTCTCCCAAAAAATCTCTCTCTCTCAAAAAAAAAAAAAAAGTCAGGGTTGGCAGGTGGCGTGGTGGTTAAGGACTCTCACGTGACCAACTGTGGTTCAAGTCCTGGACCTGGTGGCTTGCTTTCTCATTCCCCTCTCTGTCCCTCTCTGGTCAAATTAAAATATATTTGAAAAAGATAATCACTCAGCACTGGGCAGGCCAGCCAGGCAGCATGGTGGTTAAGGCAGCTGGACCTCACAAGGCCAAGAATATGGTTTGAGTCCTGAATCCTGGACCTGGCAGCTCGAGAAATATGCATATGTGCTGTGAGAGAGAGTGGAGAAGGGGTTGCAGCCCATCCTCCCTAGGGGGTGGTTTCTCACTTTCCCTAGCTGCTTGACTGAACATGTTTTTTAAGTAAGCTTCATTTCCCTACCTGCTTGACTGAACATGTTTTTCTGAGTGGCGAAGGCTGTGGATCAGAAATAAATGCAACAGGGAACCAGCAGTTAGCGTAATGGCTAAGTCACTGGACTCCCACGTAGTCAACCGTGGTTCGAGTCCCGGACCCGGTGGCTTAGAACTCACGCTGGACCCATGTGCGTGCGTATCCGAGATCCTGAGAGGAGAAGGGATTGCGGTGTGACCATCCTCCCTGGGGGGTGATTTCTTGCTTTCTGTCTCTATGTCTCTCTCTCTGGCTGGCCGGCGAGCGCATGCGTCCTATAGCGAAAAACTCTCAAAAAAAAAAAAAAAAAAAGAAAGAAAAAAGAAAAGAAAGGAAGAAATGCAACAACAAACTCACAAAGACCACAAGTATAGGAAGTTGAGGACTGGGTGGGCCCGACTTCCCAAATTCTCTGATGGAGAAAGCCAGGGCCTGGAAACAGCATCAGGTTTATTCTTTCAAAGGGCAGAAAATGGGAGAAGAGGAAATGGAATGCAGAGCCAGTTGGTTTTGGACGTAAATCCTCTAAAGATGTGAAATGACTGGAACTCGAACTGGGGTTGATAACACAGGAATATATATACCATGTGGCCCCAAAATCTTTAATGTTTGAATTTGTGCTTATAGTAGACTTAATTTTTCTTATTGTCAAAATGAATGTTAGTTATTCTATTAGGTCATCAGGAAAGTCATGATGTATTTTTCTATGCAAAAATGTATCACAAGGGACCAGCAAATGGCATAATGGCTACATCACTGGATTCTCATGTAGTTGACCACGGTTCGAGTCCCAGACCCAGAGGCTTAAAATTCACGCTGGGTTCGTGTGTGAGTGCCTAAGATCCTGAGAGGAGAAATGGAGGAGAAGGGATTTTGGCATGGCCATCCCCTCCGGGGGTGCTATCTCATTTTACGTCTCTCTGTCTCTCTGGTGGGCACACGCACCCTAGAGCAAGCCAATCTCTCTCTAGAAAAACTGTCATGACGGTCCCAACAACCCAATATATCACTCTCTAGAAGAACAGCTCTTGAGCTTTTACTGCCGACAAATCTCCAGACTCTGGGGCCTCCGCGCTGGGCAGCGGTATTTTTATCTAAAGACACTGCAGTGTAGAAATCACACAACCTGTGCCCAACACCGGCCCCCAAAGAAGATACTGTTTTACTGAAGCCTCATGAATGGCTCATGGGACTGGGTGGAGAGGGAGTCGACATTACTACTCACTGTCACGTGTGGCAGGCCGAGCTGGGGCTGGCAAGGACCCGGAATGCCCGCGGTCCGGCAGAGCTCAGCAGGTACTGTGCTAGGTCAGCGACAGAGCAGGCTCGGGGGTCGGGGCGAGACGGAGTACCAGAGCAGAAACACATGCAGCTTTCTGGTCCTCTCATTTCTGCCCCAGAATTCCTGCCCTCCAACCTCCGAACTCCTGGGCACATCAAGCCAACTCTTTTGGGAGCCCATGAAGGTCCACGACATTCGCTGGAACTTCGAGAAGTTCCTGGTGGGGCCCGATGGAGTCCCCGCCCTGCGCTGGTTCCACAAGGTCCCCATGAGTAAGGTCAGATCTGACATCCTGGAGTACTTGGAGCGGTCCGACTCCCAGTAGGAAGCTGGCAGCTGGGGAAGGTCTCTGCCCCACTCCCTCCAGTCCAGCCTCCCTGGCCAGGCCACCCTCCCCCCACGCAGCTGCTCATGTGTGTGTGAGCAGTTGCGTGTGTGCATGTGTGTGTTTGAAGATCAAGGGAAGGAAAACCTATCTGATCCTGAAATGTGAGTTTTTTCCAAACTGTTCCAAAGGAAAATAATGTTTTAGGTAGCCATTCAGACTGCTCCAAATGCTAAAAAAGCAGTTCCCCAGAAGTCCTGGCCTGAAGACAGAAGGGAAGCAGGGACTGCCAGAAGCCCCCAGGCCCTAGCCGCTGCCTGTCTGGGATGTGCCCTCTCCCTCTCCAGACTCCTCCAGCTCCTCCAGTCCGCCCCCCTCAGCACAGCCCCCACAGGGCCTCTGCAGGAAAGGGGAGCAGAAGCCTCACTTCGCAGGGGAAGGGCGTCTCCATGATGGTGGGTCCCCAAGCCCCTCCGGTGGGACCACTCCAGAGCCTTCCCTGGAGCCTGCGCCTTGGTGCATTCAGGCGTGGCCCCAGGCAGGGACGCCCCTTCCTCCAGCAGTCTCCTCACCTTAGCCTTGCTCTGCCCGGATTCCAATAAAGGACTCTGCAGCAGCCGGTGTGCACGGTGTCCTCCCATCCCTGGGGGTTGCAGCCAGACCTCCTGTCCCCGTCACACTGGGTTCCTGCCTCCTTGATCTGCCCTGGCTCTTCCGCTCTGTCCCCCAGAGCTCTAGACCTCTCCCGGGGCGTCGGAAAGCTGTGTGCAGCCTGGAGGCCAGTCGGCGGGGGGACTCAGCCCAGACACGCTACTGCTCCCCCAAACGCCTTCCCTCTTTCACAACAAATACACACATGGGGTGGGGAGGGAGGCAGCAGATGGCGTAATGGTTAAGGTGCTGGACTCCCACGTAGTCAACCGCGGTTCAAGTCCAGGACACAGTGGCTTGCAACACATTGGACACGTGTGTGTGTGTGTGTGTGTGTGTGCCCAAGACCCTGAGAGGAGAAGAGAGAAGGGATTGTGGCGTGGCCAACCCCCCTGAGGGGCAGCTTCTCACTTTCTGTCTCTCTGGTGAGTACACAACCTTATAGCCAAATTCTCTCACAAAACAAACACACACACACGTTTCTGCTTGTGAAAGCGCTCTCAGCTCACTGTTAGTCTGGGAATGAAGAATGGGAGCTGCACCAGAAACACACAGCGGCTCCTGGCCACCGGCCCCGTCCACCCGGGGTACTCAGGGGGAGGCAGACATGGCAGCCCCATGCCCCCTCCCATACCTTTGGTTTTCTGAGGTTTCAGCTAGACTCAAAACCATTAAATGTGATATTACAGAAATAAAGGAGTTAGAGGTTTATTTAGTTATTTGGAGAGGTTTTTGCTATAGGGCGTGTGCGCTTGCCAGACAGACAGACAGAGACATAGAGACAGAAAGCGAGAAATCACCCCCCCCCCGGGGGATGGCCACACCGCAATCCCTTCTCCTCCATTCTCCTCTCGGGATCTTGGGCACCCACGCACTCGCGCCTGGCATGAGGTTAAGCCACCGGGTTCGGGACTCGAATAGCGGTCGACTACGTGGGAGTCCAGCGATATAGCCATTACGCTAACTGTTGGTCCCAGAATAACTTTCTTTAACAAACCGCCGGCGCCGCGGCAGGACCCGAACTCAGCGCCCGGTCCCTTGGATTCAGACCTAAGTCCCGCCTCTGCCTGTCGCTGGAGTGGGGAGGAGTGGCCTTCACTTCGGGTGAGTCCGCTGGATTCCAGGAAAACTCGCCCGCGTGTGCGCCCGGGAGCCGCGCTGGGGCTCAGTCGGGTCTCGGCTGCGCAAAGGGCACTGTTCCCCACCCCAGTTCGGGTCCCCGCGTTTTCTCATAACCCGGTGGTGCGGACGCGACAGAACAGTTGCGCGGCTGTCCCACCTCAACGCTCAGCCTCGGCCCGGCCACCAGCAAGTGCTCCCGGCACGGTGTCCCCAGTCCTTGGAGAAAGGACCGCGGACTCTCCCACCTCACGTTCTGCCCTGATCTCTGCCCCGGCCCCCTGCACCGAACCCCTGTCCCGAGCCCTGCCTCGCCTCCTGCACCGGTCCCCTGCACGCCGCCCCCTGTACCCGGCCCCCTGTCCC